GAAGGGGTTAAAACCCTCCTGGATGGGTTAATTAATCCTTTAATTAATTAATTAGGGCCCTCATTAATTGATTAACCTGACCCTGGGACTAATTAACCGGTGCCAGGGGTAATTAATGAGCCCTGGGTAATTAATTAAGCCTCAATTTCCCATTAATAAGGGGACTGGAAGTGGTTAAAACCCTCCTGGATGGGTTAATTGTCCCCCTAATTAGTTAATTAAGACCCTCATTAATTGATGGACCTGATCCTGGGACTAATTAACCCATGCCAGAGGTAATTAATGAGCCCTGGAGGTAATTAATTATCAATTTCTCATTAATAACTCTGGGAAAAGTGGATTGGAAGGGGTTAAAACCCTCCTGGATGAGTTAATTAACCCCTTAATTAGTTAATTAAGACCCTCATTAATTGCTTGACTTGATCCTGAGAGTAATTAAGCCCTGCCAGGGCTAATTAATGAGCCCTGGGTAATTAATTAAGCCTCGATTTCTCATTAATAAGGGGACTGGAAGGGGTTAAAACCTTCCTGGATGAGTTAATTAACCCCTTAATTAGTTAATTAAGACCCTCATTAATTGATGAACCTGACCGTGGGACTAATTAACCCGTGCCAGAGGTAATTAATGAGCCCTGGGGGTAATTAATTATCAATTTCTCATTAAAAACTCTGGGAAAAGTGGATTGGAAGGGGTTAAAACCCTCCTGGATGAGTTAATTAACCCCTTAATTAGTTAATTAAGACCCTCATTAATTGATGAACCTGACCCTGGGACTAATTAACACATGCCAGGTGTAATTAATGAGCCCTGGAGGTAATTAATTATCAATTTCTCATTAACAACTAAGGGAAAAGTGGATTGGAAAGGGTTAAAACCCTCCTGGATGAATTAATTAATCCTTTAATTAATTAATTAAGACCCTCATTAATTGATTGACCAGATCCTGGGACTAATTAACCCGTGCCAGAGGTAATTAATGAGCCCTGGGTCATTAATTAAGCCCAAACTTCCCATTAAAAAGTGGTTTTGAAGGGGTTAAAACCCTCCTGGATGAGTTAATTGTACCCCTAATTAATTAATTAAGACCCTCATTAATTGATTAACCCGACCCTGGGACTAATTAACCCCTGCCAGGGGTAATTAATGAGCCCTGGGTCATTAATTAAGCCTCGATTTCTCATTAATAAGGGGACTGGAAAGGATTAAAACCCTCCTGGATGGGTTAATTAACCCCTTAATTAGTTAATTATCAACCTAATTAATTGATTACCCTGACCCTGGGACTAATTAACCCGTGCCAGACGTAATTAATGAACCCTGGGGGTAATTAATTATCAATTTCGCATTAAAAACTCTGGGAAAAGTGGATTGGAAAGGGTTAAAACCCTCCTGGATGAGTTAATTATCCCCTTAATTAATTAATTAGGGCCCTCATTAATTGATTAACCTGATCCTGGGACTAATTAACCCGTGCCAGAGGTAATTAATGAACCCTGGAGGTAATTAATTATCAATTTCTCATTAAAAATTATGGGAAAAGTGGATTG